CCTCCCCCTCTCACACTTTTGCTCGCTCCTTCAGCCAAAATATCATACAAGTTACATTTGTTTTCAGACATTGACCACACTTCATAGCCTCTGGCATCTGTTGGAAGTCTCTTTGTGCTGGACCCTGGTTCTTTTTTATTATTGTGGATTTGAGTGGCATTTAAAGCAAAGAACAGCATGACGATTAAATAAACTAGTATAAAACATCATCACAATAATAATGCATTCATAATATGGTCTTTGATGATTAAACTCTGAGACAAAAGTGATTGGAGATGTGGCATAATGGCAGGGTAAGCAACTGGAGTGTTTGGAGGCAGGCTTCATTGCTGTTAGCTCTTAAATGAATGCTGAAAAGACCATCAGCCTGTAATGTAAGGATTAATTTGGAGGCATTTATGATGCTCAATTCACAAAACTGTATTATACTGATCAGAGCCTAGCATTTCAGAAGGGAAGCTCCTAAATTCAGTATTAGTACCAGTTCTTTCTGAGGTGGAGAGGTGGATGTGATGTGAGGTCAGCCTTTCTCTCTCACTAATTTAATCTATAAGCATGGCCTTTCTCTGAACTTTGACCCCTGGCAGCTGGGTGCAGGTAATTTCATCAATAAAGCTTGTTAGGGACACTTCCTGCTCTGTGCAGCTATGACCAGCTGCATCAGAGAAGGGGTTGGAAATATGAGACTACTCAGTTAAATTACTATATACTAAATTCCACTTTATTTGCAGACAAAAGACAGGAGGTTAGACAAATACAGTACTGGTCTATGGTTGCCAGGGCTTGATCTTTCATGTCTGTGTGCTTTTGTGATCCATCGGGTTTGTTGGAATGTGTGGAATGGTTTACTCACTGGTTCCTGTTCGTTCTTTAGGGAGACCCTTTATTAAGCAACAGAGAAAGCAGTTCACAAGGATTAAGCAAGACCTCACACCATGACCGGACATGTTTTAGGAAACCAGACTTCACTGTATGTTTCAGCTTGATAGATTGATCTCATGTCATCCGAGCTCATGAGGGGATATTAATGCAATTCACGGTAGCTCTGCTAGGCCATATTGCTGTTGTTTAGAGGGTGGATCATGTTGAAAAGCACAAGATATATGAAACCTTTCAGAGGAATTCATATCCAAAAGCACAGCGGGAGGAATTCCAAGAGCATGGCATTCAATCAGCAGGACGTCTGCATAAGATTTATTTTTTATTTGTTTTATTTGTGTTGGACCAGTTGTGATATTGCCGTAATAAAA